ATGTGTATACACATTTTGTACAAAAAAACGTTTTTGAGAACGATTTCCGGAATGGAAATCAAAATGTCAAACATAAGTTAATTAAAAATGTGATTCTTATCACAATTACAACCAATAATTGAGGCGTAATCCCATAAAAACATAATATTTACCTCAAACTATTCACCGATAGCTTGGATTAAAGAGGTTGTAAATTGAAATTTATGTAAAATATTCCCCTACACAATTCTCTGGGAAAAATATCTACGTTAAATAAATATACCTAACATCTAAACAAAGAAAAAACCAGTTAAGACCGCAACTTGTTAGCAGGTAGTATCATGTCGTCTTGAACTTGACCAAAACGGATCGATATTTATGTATCTAGATATTATTTTAAGTATTAATATCGGCAACATCTATTGGCTTTAAAATGATAGCAAATACAGTGATTTTAAATGATCGATGTTAAAACGTAGGTTTGATGTAAAAAATTAAATATATAAAAAAATCAGAATATTGAAAAACCGACAACGGTGCTAAGCCAACAGAGGTGCACTAAACGAACATACACGACTTATATATAGAAAATAATAGATTTTCTTGGTGATGCTAAATTACTGCAACGTGAAAGGAGTTTAAAATTATGGCGGGATATATATATATATATATATATATATATTATATATATATATATATATATATATATATTATATATAAACAATATAAATTTAGAACAACCTATCTAAAATTTGAAATTCTTATAGTACCTAATTAAATTATATGAACAAAATTTGTATCACTGAATGCCTAAATCAAACTGATTTCCAAAATAAAAGTTATAATCACCACTCTTTATCTTTTTAATCAGTCTCAGTTATCTTTGTATTTGTGAAATTGCTTTTTCCAAATATACCAAAATGTTTTAATTATCAGCTCCCAACAATTTTAAATATTTTTCTTCTTAATAATCTCCAATCACCATATAGATATAATTTAAAATTCTTCTAATCTCCATATAATATACTTTCAAATACACTATATACCATCTGCTTGTATTATTGACTGCTTAACTTATTAATAAATTCAATACTAACTGTCGAACTGTCACCTGTTTAACTTCTTAATGAATTAACTCCATACTGTCAGTGTAACTGTACTAATAATTAACTATCACTGTATTGAACTAACTGTCCTAATTTACTCTCATACTCTCCAACTGTATCTGACTTAATGAATTATATAACCGCCTTGAACTAACTGTCTTGATGAATCTAATTTACTCTCATACTGTCACTGACTCAATTAATCAACTGTAACTGACTTAATGACTTAATGCCTGCCTGTTCCAAATTACATCGTATTTATATCCTTTCATCGTTCCAGAATATTCGGGAAATAAATCATGTTCTAATTTGTTCAATTCCTAGACATATGAATGTTCTGGAATAGTCTACCATGCAAATAGGTCAACCTCCTCTTATTGACATGTACTAGAAAATTATTTACGCTTCTATGGATAATTTAATGGACATTTAGGCTTTTTAGATCAGAATACACTCTTATATATAAACTAAACATCTTAAACTAATATATTATCACTATTATCACTTTACATCCGTAATTATATTTAAATTAAACATCCCAAACTAATAAATAACCCCATTTCACATGTCAATACAGTGTATATTTGTTTGCCTATGCACATGGCTCACTTAAACATATCTACTATTAAATAAAAATAAAAAAAACTTCTTAAATTTATTATTAAGCTAAATTGTTAAAAATACTCTCGTATAAATATTATTTTTTATAATATTCGCTAGTATATAACTTATAAATTATTTCTTTAATCACTATTTAAGTTTATTAATTAAAAATCATAATATTATTATTCTAATCTCCTCCACATCTATTATCATCTCAATATATATAGATATATTAATACATCTCATCAAAGGATATATACGCATATATGCGTCTAATATATACATATTGTTTTTTTACGTTAAGAATGTGACAGTCTAGTAACTTTTAAATGTCCAACCATACAGCAAACTCCCCATGCCCCTCTCTATGCCTATAGATTCTAATAAATCTAGTGACTTTTAGTGAAATATCGGTTGGCAAAATATTGCAATATTGCCAGTGCATTTCTCACGGCTTTTTGTTATTGTATTTGTGAACAGGAGGCACAGAACAGAAGTGGAGTGGAGGTTAGGTCCCACCCAAAATAGAAAACAATATTCTGTGGTTAGGTGGTGTTGGTTATTTATTTTTTTCGTTTCAATTTTTGCTATAAATTAAACTAAAAAAGTTCTTTTCAGAACTAATATTTATAAATTTAAAATTTTATAAATTTTCAAATATGCCTAAAGCTTTAGGAAGTTGTGCCCAGAAAATGGTCATTTCTTTAATTTCATACTTTGAGACAGAACGTGATCATCAATCTATATTACTTCCGTTTGAAGCAGTTAGGGATGTAAGTAATTATTTGTTCTATTTCTTTTTAAATAGTGATATAAAATGTGAGCAATATTTAATTTTACATTTTTAAACAATCCTATTTCATTTTGATTAAAAAGTGAGGTTATATGAAAGTTTTTATTTTTAGAGGGTAGCAGCGGCGTTAAATATTAGCCTGTCCCTTGTAAATAAAATTGCAGTAAAAGCCAATAGGGGTGAACCATTAAGAAGCCCAAAGCAAAAAGACGACGTACAATACCAGTTGTTGATATAGACGAATTCAATCAAATGACTATTCGAAATATTATTTATGACATGTACAAAAAAAGTAAGTTTTTGGCCAAATTTAATGTCAATAATCTTTAAAACAAATAATCATTTTAGAGGAACAAGTTAAATTACAAACACTACAAGCGAAATTAGTAGAAAGGAATATTTTTACTGGTAGTCTTACTTCTTTATGGAAAATTGTACGCAATATTGGTTTTCGTTATAAAAAAGATGATCCACGACGTGGTTTAATGGAGTTACCCAATATTGTTTTTAAAAGACATATGTTTCTGCAGCAGTATGTAAAACTAAAAAATGAAGGTCTATACACATTTGTTTTCTTGGACGAGACATGGATTTTTCAAGATGGTACTATTAGTCGTTCTTGGCAAGATTCAAGTGACAAAAGTGTTAAGAAAACTAAAGTCGGTGGTGCAAGGTAAAGATATATTTTTTTGTTTAACATCCATTTTATTGTGATCTGTTTTACACAAAACAACAAACAATAACATGTGAGTGTTAAGAAAGTGACACAGTCAGTATTCACCCCATCTTTTGAAAAAGGAAGAAGCCAGAGCTGAAAAGGAAAGTGACAAAACAAACAAAAAGTACGTGTTCACAATGGACAAGTGTATTGCTTTGTCCAAAATCAAATGTCTCTAGTTTATATTATAAGACAAAGCTTGCTGTACACAATCTTACTTTTTTTAACCTACACACTAAAGGGGTAAAATGTTATGTTTGGCACGAATCTGAAGGTGGACTCACGGCTAATGAGTTTTCATCAATGATCTGCGACTTTATCAATTGTGAATGCCCCTTACAAAGCAAAGATCAATTAGTTACATTATACAGTGATGGGTGTGGATACCAAAACAGAAATGCTGTTCTGTCGAATGCTCTCCTTAATGTAGCTAAATTAAAAAACATAAAAATTGAACAGAAATATCTAACAAAAGGACACACTCAAATGGAAGCAGATTCGGTCCACTCCCAAATTGAACGCCAAGTGAGAACAAGAAGTTTCAATGTTCCAGCAGATTACTGCGATGCTATCAAGAAAGCTCGTACAAAGCCCAAGCCTTATGACGTGAAGTACCTTAACCACTCATTTTTTTTTAGATATTGAAGGTACATTGAAAAATATAAAATCTATTAGACAAGGAAAAAGACGCGGAGACCCTTGTGATGCTGATATTGTTGCACTTCAATACCAGCCTGATTCAATTAACTACAAGTTACGTTTCACACAAGAGTGGGAAAGTGCCTTTACGATGCAATATTCCATCAATTCAACAAGTGAATTTGAAAGATATTCCTAAACTTTACTCCGAAAAATTGAAAATAACAAAGAATAAATACAATGATCTTCAGGAGCTAAAGAAGACCCTTCCGACGGATTATCATTACTTTTATGATAATCTTCCATGGCAGTAGTTTAATATTCTTTATATATTTTTTTAATTTTATATTGTAATAAATAAATAAATACTTTAACATCTTGTGCGTCTCTTTTATTTTGTATACCCTAATTCCCAAAAGAAAATGTCGTATCTCCTCAGTAAAATTAAGATTCTAGCCAGAAAAAGTCGTATCTCCGGTAATTAAATATTAAAATGTAAAAATGTATTATTTTTTATCGGAAACTATACAAATAACCTTTTCTATTTACAAAATGAATAAAACCATCCATAAAATTAATATAATACAATTTATTCAGTTTTTTTCTTCTCCTGTAAAGTTAGCATTTTTGGAGTTACGACCTTTGAAAAATAGACCAACGATATAAGAAATGGAAAAATAGTTTGGCAACGATGCACCTGATCGTTGTGTGACGTCATCACATGCTTATCGTAAAAAAAGTTATATAGATAATATTACACACTGATATGAAATAAACATTATTAAACCTATTCCGCATTTTTATTATTAGTGGTATGCCACCTATTGGTGAAAACCGTAAAATAACTTGGAATAATGTATTTCAGGAAGATAACTCCCACAGCATAACTATAGCTTAACGTGTTGAATTCCCCGAAATTCAGATTAAACAAACCGTGCAACGTGCATACTTAGGATATTATAAAAGTGATGCTATTTGTGTGTTTTAGTATTTCCTATATTTTAATATAAATAATTGTGGTTCGTTTATAAGATCCAGAGATTTAGGAATTTCCTTCAATTTTGTAATAAACAGGTAACAATATTTTAATAAGTAGTATTTTATATATTATTTGTTGGATATTTTTAGATAATATCTAGAAGTAGAAGTACTTGTAAAAAAGATGTCTGACGATTCCGGAAAATCAGAGCATAGTGAAGCTCAAAGAATGAAATTAAATACGGGTAAAAGGAAATTTATTCACAAATTTCAATCTGCATGGGAGAGTGATGATAGATTTAAATTATGGATACAAGCAAGTAGCAAGAGATTCATTTTTGTTGCAAGTTTTGTTCATGTGATTATGTCTGCGGTAACGCCGAAATATTGAAACATATGAAGACTAAAAAACATGAAAAACAAGCAGGAGACTACAAAAGCAGACAAACCCTGACATCGATGAGTGTATAGTCATCATCACCGTTAGTAGCCGTAAAACGAGGTAGAGAAAATGATATACGCATAGTAAGTTTTTTAGTAGAACACAATTTGGCATTTAATGTAGCCGATCATTTAGTGCAGCTGATCAAACATTTACATGTGGACAAGGATTATCTGAGCAAAACTTCGTGTGGAAGAACGAAAGCGGCGAAAATAGTGACTAACGTTGTAAGTGGACATGGAAAAGGAAATATTTTAACAATTTTAAAAACAACAAAATTCTCTCTAATTATTGACGAATCTACAGACATAGGCACTACAAAAAATTTGGCTTTAATAGCAAGATTTTTTAAGAATCAAATAGCTTCCGATGTGTTTTTAGAGCTTATGGAAGTCGCTGATGCTTCCGCTGAAAATATCTATAGATCTATTGTAACATTTTTGTATTGAAAATCAAATAGATTATAAAAGAAACATGGTAGATTTTGCTGCTGATGGCGCAAATGTCATGATAGGTCAGTACTCTTTTAAAAAATGATATACCTCACCTATTTCTTTTTAAGTGCGGTTGCCACTCGTTTGCTTTATGTGCATCATATGCAACACAACAGATACTGAATGAAGTAGAACAGCTACTGCGATCGGTTTATAAATTTTTCAAGTCGAGTTTTAAAAGGTTAAGTCGGCTTCGACGTTGTGCAAGCCGTTTACCATCTGCACAACAGACGGCTTTGTTGTAGATCTACCAAGCCCATTCTTAGCTACAGAAAATGATGCAAGCATTGTGAAGAAGGTTATGGAAGATCCAAATGGAATAAGGTTACTTAAGAAAAAAGGTGATGTTTGTATTGTAGATAGGGGCCTTAGAGACGTCGTATCATATTTAAAAGATATTTTCTTCAAGGTTCTGATGCCGGCATTAACAGGAAAAAGACCAAGTTTATCCACAGCTGAAGCTAATGAATCTCGTTACGTTACGAAACTAAGATGAGTAGTAGAAGCTGTCCACGGCATTTTTGGAAAAAAATATAAGCTCCTCAATAACAATTGGATAATCAAATGTTACCAAAAGCTGGAGCATGTGGCAGAACTGCATGTTTCCTTAATAACCGTTATGGAAAAAGATCATATAGCGATGAAGAAGGAGATGATGAATTAAAAAATTAATAATACAGAGAATCTTGAATTCCAGTAAAGTGAATAACACATTGGCTAAAGCGGCTGAAACAGCAAGGTGGTCTAGACGAAGTTCGACGACAACCAAGATAACATCGCCAGAAATTCTCGATTTTCCAGAGATGACAGAGAGAGATCTCAAAATATTCTTTTCGGGTACGTATCAGTTAGGTCAAGCTGTATGTTCATCCGAATGAAACATAATATTATCAAGGTTTTGATACAATCCATACATATCAACAAAAACATTTATAAATGCTACATTGAGTATAAGCCAGAATCTATTGTCTACAATGCAATTTTACGTCACTCATGCGATTGCGCTAATGGATTGAGAACTGTTGGATCTTGCTCACATGTTGCTGCTGTTATATATTATATAAGCAATGCTAGGTATCAATCGGTAATTATTAGACAGCTAAATTTATTTCAGAAATATTTGGTGAAACGGAGATTGATCCGGTAATCGACGAGGATAGTGAGGAAGATTAATAAAATGTTATTATTGTGTCATTCAATGTAACTAGATTAAATAGAATATTGTAAATATAGATTTTTAATTAGTAAAAATATGAATTTTCTTTACCTCTACAAAAATATTTTGTTTTCATGCGTACGATCAGCTGTAAAAATTAATTAAAAGATACCGAAAATATGGTTCATTTTTCAGAGTCTTTTGAGGTTATTTAGTAAAAACATAAAAAAAATTAGGTTTTTCGGATTCCGACAACGTTGTGAGATAAAACTAATGCTTTGAATAGCTGATTTTGATTGTAGACGGAAAGTTACATGTGAAAATTTAAATTACCATTCATTTAGACACTGAATTTAGAGGTTATATAGCGAAAGCTTAAAACAATTCCGAAAAAACGGGGTTTTTCGGTTTTTGGAGCTTGCAGGAAAAAATAATAGTTTTAATATATTATTTCGATTGTAAAGGTAAGAATACATATAAAAATATGAATTATCAATAATTTAGGTGTATGTTGTTGAGGTTATGAGTCAAAAACTTGTCAGAAAAATGCCAAAAAAGCAGTTTTTTCGATTTTTAGGCATTTTCCACGTTGAAAATGATAATAATTAACCTACGCCATTGGAAAGAACGGGAAAAAACCCATTAAAAACACAAATATTTTTCCTGGGCTTAATTTTCAAGCTAAAAATCTGAAAAAAAATTAGGCAGTTTTGTATTTGATTTGATTTTGTAGATTTTTTGCAGCAATACAGCATCTAAAAATTTTTTTAAATACATTTTTTCCCATAGCGAGCATCTAGAGACACCTAGGGACTTGAAAATTTAACTGAGTGAGTTTTTAATTACAGTAAAAATCGTTTTCAACGACACCGGCTATGATGTACAATCGGATATAACAAACAAAATAGTAGGTCCCACAAAATTACATACAAAAAACGCATTTATATTGCTTATAATGAACAAATCGGTTAGAGCAAACGTATTTCTTGGAACACTAGCAGTTAAAATATTGGTTACAGCGTACAATTTCAAGTACATATCTGTACTTCAGATGATACAACATCCATTTTTTGAATTGACATTTTTACACACTGTATAATAAACAAATAATAAATAATTATAACCAACGCATGATGTAAATGACAGTAGATACAATGTTCAATATAATATTGTTTCCACATCTTAATAAATAAGTTTAAAAGTGCTATCCTGTAAAGTTATGAAAATGGACATTGTAGTGTTGTATTTCTCACAGGTATTACCGATATTTAGTACCACGAAATGAGAAGTAAGGATTTATTAATTTATGGTTATAGTACATTCGGGCAGGCATCTACACTTGATTACTTGTCCTTTAGACATTTAGAGCTCCCAAGACTGATCCATTGTATTACAAAATTTTGTTTATATTACACCATTTGGCCTAAGCCAAGAGTTTCTGAATTTGGATTCAGTTGTGTCTAGCCTTTATAGAAAACATGTCACGAAAACAATTTACTATGGAGGAACAGTTTGGAATAATTTGCCGAGTCGATTCCGGTGATTCCGCGAGTTCGATTGCCAGGGAATTTAAAACGTCACGCTTAACAATTGCTGGAATGATGAAACGGCGAGAGAAAATTATTATGCAATTTAATAAGTGTGAAAAAGGAAAACGCGTTCAGTTATTAAATCACAGTGACATTGAAAGTGCTTTGCTAGATTGGTTCAAACAACAACGTGCTCGCCACAATATCGTCCGTGGAAAAATTTCAGGTGAGTCAGCAGTTGTTGACAGATCAATTACAAATGACTGGGTTGAAAATGTGTGGCCTACACTCAGGTCCGGCTATAGCGATGATGAAATTTTTAATGCTGACGAGATGGGATTATTTTTTAGACTGACACCTGATCACATGTTAAAGTTTAAAGGGGAGAAATGTTCCGGTGGTAAACTCTCAAAATATCGAGTTACCGTTCTTGTTGCAGCCAAAACTTTTGTTGTTGTTGAAGCAAACGTTGTTTGCTTTCTAAAAAGGAAGCTTTTGGTGCTAGGAAAAAGTAAAATGCCGCGCTGTTTTAAAAACGTAAAAAATCTCCCTGTTGATTACGATTTCAATAAAAAAGCCTAGATGACGTCGGCTATTTTTGAAAATACTTTAATAAAATGGGACAGTGAACTTTAACAATAAAAGAAACCCATAATTTTAATTGTCGACAACTGTCCCACCCCCCCCCCTAGTTGACAGGTTAAAACAAACTAAACTCGTTTTTCTGCCGTCCGTACTACAGCCCATGGACCACGGACACAAGACTAAAAAGTCTTAAAGCATGCTTTTAGAGCCTCCGATAGTGGCTGCAAGACCTTGATGTGGGTTCGGGGGCTTAATCTGACTGTTCAGGTAGGGCTGTAGTCTGGCGCAGGAAATGGAACAAGTATGTGTGTGTGAATGAATGGGATCTCCCTAATAAAGAGCTCTCCGTTAATTGAAGGTACCCCCTATAAACGGGCTAGGCCTGGCGAACGGGAAGTATGAATGGATGTGAAAGGACCTCGCTAGAGCAGTTCCGCCACCGCTTAGATGTCTGGAATACCTGGGAATCTCTTCCAGATAGTCGAAAGACTAAGTATAGATGAACTGCTTCAGCGACCAAGAAGCAGTCTACCCAACTTAACAATAACAGGATTCACAGCGTGGAGGATGGTGCTCGCCCCCTTCAATGGAATCTCAAGACTGGATTAGTGTCCAGATTGATGTTTCGTTGCGGGAGGAGACAGCCATTTACGAAAACCTGCATGGTATAAAGCGTGTCTATTACGTCATAAGACGAACATATATGTGGAGGCTTGCCTTAATCAGCAGGCCAAGTGGAAGGGAACCACAATAAAAAATCCTCTCAATTTCAAGGTGGAATAGCATAAGCTGAAAAATTAATAGTTAGGGGGTATCTAACTACTATTATGCGAAATCTGGGCACCTGGGGAACCTCAGTTTTACTAGCCTTACTGTGGCATGCGGGGCTCTGCTGCAGGTGACATTTATTTCTCTAGCTTCTCGTGGGAATTTGTATGGAACCCTATATTAAAGAAAAAGAAGGAATATCCGACTCCCAAAGATCGGACACTGAAATGGAGGTAAGCGACCCTCATGTACAGGCCAAAAATAAGCCTGA